CGGGCGCGTGGTGCGCGCCGGGGCCCGCGGCGGCGGCGGGCGCGGGGCCGGGGGGCGCGGGGCGCGGTACCGACCTGCTGCGCTGCCGCTCGCTGCTCCACCAGACGTCCCGGGCCGCGGGGCCGCCCGCTGCTGCTGCTGCTCCTGCACGGAGCCGCCGCAAACGCACGCCGTGTATTTTTTATATATATACGCATATTTATAATCACGCGCTACCGTTTTCCTTAGCTCTACCTATCAAGAGCGCAAACACCAACTACTCCGCACAGACGGCGAGACCAACCACAACAGCGACACGCAGAGCCGGCGAGGAGGGAAGAAGAAGGGAAAAAGAAGAAGAAGAAGAAGAAACCCCAGCGGCGGCTGGGCGAGCAGCAGCGGGCGGGCTCGCCCGCTCCGGGCTCTTACCTTGCCCACGAGCAAACTTTGCTGGGCGCCCCCGAGGCGGCCGCGGGGCTCGGGCGCCGCACGCGCTGCGAGGCAGCTCCGCTCCGCTCCGCCCGCTCCCCGCCGCCTATTTATCCATCCTGCAGCCGCCGGCGGTGCCCGCGCTGTTTACAGCCGAGCTGGCTCCTCCCAGCCGGGGACGAGCCCTCCAGCCTGGACGTGCACCGGCGACCGGCCCCCGGCCCGCACGTCGGGGCCGCCCCGGCCCGGGCTCCCCTCGCATCTTCAGGGGACACGCGGAGGTGCTTTAGAGCTTCGTGCGTGGCCACCTTCTGCCCAGGGGCCACCTGGGAGCCTCCCCTCCAGCCTGGGTCCCACAGCCACTGTCCCCATCTGCCAGCCTTGGAATTTACTCCAGCACGTGTTTTCTCCTGGCAGAGGGCACAAAGAGGCTATAGTCGTGTTAACCGGCAGTCATGTCACTAAGTGCCCTGGGCACAGGGGATGGGGCGAGGGGCAGCTGTGCCCAAGTGGGCACCCACATGCCCGGGGTGAACGTSCTGGCCCTGGAGCCTACATGTCCCTAACTGCTAGGCACACAGAGCATTGCTGAATGGTGAACGTCCGTCGTAGAGGAACAGATCCAGGTAACACTCTCTGCTTTTCGTACTCCATAAACGCAAGGAAAATCCCAAGCTGCCGCCTTTGCTGCTCTTTGCTCRTGAGTCACCCCTAGTGCTGGCTCCTCAGGTGGCTTCTGTCATTTTGCTTCCTAAAAAGCACCTTTACTCAATATTRTGCTTAGTTCATGCCCGAATAAGATCTGTATGAATGTAGGTCGAGGGACTTGGAGCTGTTGCTATCAGGATATCACCTGTGGTCACCGGTCCAGGGAAGCTGTTGCTGGTGGCATTTTTGGGCAAGACAAGAAAAGGCCGTTTTGTCTCTAAATATACTACCCCAGTCACTAGYTTCCTAGTTTGGATGATACTGAGAGTGTCAAATATGAGGACGAGAACTCGAACCTTCATCTTACACCTGTCACGGCCCTGCAAAACTCATTCATTTTAAAAATACTTACTCCAGATGAAAGATTTCATAGACTTTGAATCTAAAGCAAAGGAAATATGTTTAAAAAACACTAATCTACACTGTGGCGGTAAAAGCCAGTGTAATGCAAGTGTCAGCTAGCCCTGAACTTCCTGCAGGCCCTACAAAATCCGCAGCCAAGCTGAAGTCACCCTGGTTTAAGTGCGACTTTCCCTGACCAAGGACCAAACGTCTCCAAGCACAAGTGCTGTTCAGAGGCACTTTCCCACCGTAGCCACAAAATTCACACAGATACAATGGTCTCATTCTTTTTCTCAGGAAAAACCTCCTTTGAGGTGAATGATTTCAGTGTTGTTTCCCCCAGTATTAACTGGCCCGAAAAGGAAAATTACAGAGCAAATTAGACTAGAAACATCATCTTGTTTTCCTGAAGATTCACTTTAAGGCAAACACAGAAGTGCCTGTTGTAAACTGCATCTTGGTGCTCAGCAGCTAAAATGTTTTCCTTTCACTCTTTTCCAAATTTCATTTTTTCAGGCTGATTTCTGTTTTTGCAACCCCAGCTTGAAGCTTGCACTGCAGGGGTCAGCAATGAGACACGTCCTCGCCCTAAGACCGTTTCCAAACCCCCTCACACCTGCAATGGGAAATGGTGACTAACAGGTTTCTGCTTCCAGTTCACTAAAAGCGAGAGGAGAGGAGAGGAGAGGAGAGGAGAGGAGAGGAGAGGAGAGG